GTGATTTTATTTCACGAATAAGTCCGTAGGATGTTTTTGAGGTCGGGTGTATATTTGGTTTGGAGCCCCGAGGGCTCGGATGAGTTTTGGATAGGCCACGGGGTGCATTTTGAACTTAAAAATTGCTGGTGCGTTTCAGACCTGCAGGCTTCGCATCTCGCAAATGCGAGCTCGCAAATGCGAGCCATTCATCGCAAATGCGAGAGGTGGCCTGGGCAGCCTTCTTCGCAAATGCGGAGTATCCGTCGCAAATGCAACACCCGCCTAATCCTCTATGATCGCAAATGCGACCTATGTGTCGCAAATGCGGAAGTGGCAAATGCGACCTTCTTTTCGCAAATGCGAAGGTCTAGCAATTCTGAAGGGGTCGCAAATGCGAGCCCTGTTTCGCATTTCCCATAACAGCAGAGATCGGGGTTCGCAATTGCGAACCCCTGTTCGCAATTCCCATATCAGAGACCTGCAACTTTTATACTTTGACGATTTTAAACCCATTTTTCACATTCTCTCAAAACATAAACACACTTAGGCGATTTTTTCAAGGATTTCTTCTTCTCCAAATCAAATGTAAGTCGTTTTTAACTAACTTCCTTCAATTCTTAACATCTTTTAACATGATTTCAACTTCAAATCAATGATTTTCATGGGAAAATTGGGTGTTTTGGGTAGAACCTAGTTTTTTCAAAAATTGGGGATATGGACCTCGATTTGAGGTCCGATTTCAAAACAAATTATATATTTGAGTTCGTGGGGAAATGGGTGATCGGGTTTTGGTTCGAACCTCGGGTTTTGACCATGTGGGCCCGGGGGCAATTTTTGACTTTTTGGGTAAAACTTTGAAAAATTTATTTTTATGCATTCGAATTGATTCATTTAGCGTTTATTAATGTAATTAAGTAACTTGTGACTAGATACGAACGAATTGGTGGTGGAATCGAGGGGTAAAGCTATAGTTGAAGCGTGAATTGTGTTCGTGGCATCGAGGTAAGTGTTTGGTCTAACCTTAGTTTGAGGGATTAGGAGTTGAGTCCTATTTGTTAAGTGTTAATTGTTGAGTACAACGTATAGGCATGGTGACGAGTATCTATACGTTGGTGTCTAGCATGCCCGTGAGTCTTTATATTGTGATTTTCATGACTTCGTTGTATCTTTCATGCCTTGGTGATGGTTTCTATATGTTGTGTAAAGTTTGTGGAAGGAATTGTGACTTATGAACATTGAGGAGCGTTGGCTCAAGTTATGTAACGAATTGTGAAAGTGTAAGTGATAATTGAATCTCTAGATCATTGGCTCGAGTTATGAAGTGAATTGTGAAGTAAAAGTGAGAAAGAAAAGAAGTTATCATGTTGACACCCTTGCCGGGCTATTGTTGATTTATTTGTTATCTCCATTTCCGGGATGTTGATATTATTGATGTTGTTCCCTTGCCGGAATTTATTTGTTGAAATGTGGTTCCCTTGCCGGGATCTTTATTGCAATTTCATTTATTCCCTTGCCCTATTGTTTGTGATTGTTATTTGGTTGAAGAAGAGCGTTAAAGCGAAGGGTGATGTCGTGCATTTATTGAATTCTGATTCTTGTTGATATCTGAGTTATGTTATTTCTTTCGTTTATTTGATGCCTTTATATTCGGAATTGCTATCTTCCCCACAGCATGTTCCCCTCCCATTTTGACTGGTTATTTATGTGTCTCTTTTTCGCTGTATATATATATATATTTGAACTGCACATGTTTATGTGGTAGTCTGGTCTAGCCTCGTCACTACCTCGCCGAGGTTAGGCTAGGCACTTACCAGCACATAGGGTCGGTTGTGCTGATGCTACACTGTGCACTCTTTTGTGCAGATCCCAGTGCTGTTGACTTCGGACTGTAGGTTGGAGGCTATTTTCAGTTCACGCGGAGATCCAAGGTAGACCTGCAGGCGTCCGCAGGCCCTGGCGTCTCCTCTATCTTTATTTCCTGTTTCATTTTCCTTATATTCAGAAACAGTGTATTGATATTTTCTTCAAACTTTGTATGTAGTAAATCTTAGGCCGTCTGTGATACTGTGACATCAGTTCTAGGTAGTCGAGGTTCAAACAGTTGTATTGGATATTCATGTTCAGATAGCTTATGGCTTCTTTCTTCCGCTTATGTTAAATTCCGCTGTTTAAATGTTATTATTATTATTATTAAAATTGCTAATGAATATAAAATGAGTAAAAAGGGTAAATTGTGAAATTAATTGGCTTGCCTAGCTCGTACTAGTATGCGCCATCACGACTCCCGAGGGTGAAAATCTGGGTCGTGACAGCAACGACCATCAGAATGGGGTGGATCTTTCTCTCTAGGGCTTGATTTCGATATTGATTCAGAGCCCCATCCCACTAACAAAATGAAAATTTCGCGAGACAATGGAGATGAATCAGTAGAGAATAGTCGTTGTATTCATGGAGAAAGACTAAAGGTGTTAATCGGGCCGGGCTGACCCGCTAACAACCCGGTTCCACCCGGGTCAGCCCGGTCCAGCCCGTTACTGTAGCAAAAAAAGCGGGTTGGGACGGGTTGGGCGGGGGGCGGGCTACAAACGTTAACTTTTTTTAAACGGGTGACCGAACCCGCTACAACCGTTAAGCCCTTAACGGGTTCTTAACGGGCTACAGCCCGATTCAGCCCGTTAACCCGTAATATAAATTTTTTTTTTATTAAAATCTGACTGTTGCCAACGATCAAATACCAAAAAAGACCGTTGGCCAACGGGTTTTTCTGCCCCAACAACCACTTTTTTTCTTCTTTATTTATATTTTAACCCCTGACCCCTTATAATTTGTAAATTGCAATTGTAGCCTTTTAAAAACTATAAATACCCCCCTTTCTTCTTCATTATTCCTCACAATTCAATTCATTTTCTCTCTAATTCTCTCTCAATTCTCTCTTGATAATATTCCCAATTACTCATTATTTCAAGCTTTCAACTTTCAAGTTTCATCAAATATTTAGTTTTGTCATTACAAAAGTATTATTATCATAAATTTCTAATTCAATTATTCAAGTGAAGTGTGGCATCAATTATCAAGTATCAAGTTATCAATTGAAGTTTGAGTTTCTACTTTCTATATCAAATTTAGTGCGGCATTCGGAATCCCGGTACACTCGTTCCATCCCTTTCTCTTTATTATTTAGAATTATTATTTGAATTTTTTATTTTAAATTACATAATGGATTTACTTAGAGCGGCCAAAAAAGCTTGCACTACTAGCAGAGGTGGTAGTAAGAAAAATTCCAAAAGAATAAGAGGTGGTTCTTCTTCTAGTAGTTTTACACATGTTTCTGAAAGTTCACCCGAAAATGTAAATGTAGATTATGAGCTACTTCAAGAAAATTATGGTAATGATGATGATTTAGATGATATTTTAAATGATATTCCATCACCCGATAATCTTGAAACACCACCACCTACACCCGGTAATGCTAGTCAAACACAAAATATTAGGGGTGGAAGTGCAAGTAAGCCTCCTTTGCCTATTAAAAAGAATCGAAGATTAAGAAGTAAGTGCTGGAATTTTTTTGATAGACTAGAAAATGAGAAAAATTATGTAAAATGTAAAATATGTAAGGAAGTTTATAAACATGAGCCCGGTAACAAATTTGGAAGATGATGATAATGTTCAAGATTATTTGATTTGGTCTACACTAGGAGAGCATCAACAAACCAGTAGCCGGAATATTGATGAACTCCAATTCTACTTGCAAAAGTCACCGGAGCCCCTCACAAAGGATTTTCTACCTCTGAGTTGTGGAGGAGCAACTCAAATTAGTTTCCTGTTCTTTCGGCCATGGCTCGAGACGTTCTAAATGTGCCTATTTTGAACAGTCGCATCAGAGAGCGCATTTAGCCAAGCAAGACAGCAGCTAGGAGATACCCGTCATTCATTGGGCAGCAACGCTTTGGAAGTTCTAGTGTGCTTCAGAGATTGGATTAGATCAGAACGGCGAAATCAAGGGCGTGACGAGGTAGATGAAGAGGAAGACTAAGAAATTGGAGATATAATGGTTTATGGTACCGATTATAATACCGGAAACCAAGAACCTCACATTGACATGGAAGAGCTTTCAAAGATGATGCAAAACATATGATTTACTATTTCTTCTTTTTTTTAAACTTTTAATTTGCAAGTTCAAAAATTTTAAAAATCAAAAAAGAACTTGCAAATTAATTTGAAGTATTATATTATTCAATAAAAATATCAAAGTTACTTAAATATTGTGATTTTTTTATATTGCATATTAGTCTTATTCAATATTTTTTATATAGACACTTACTTTCTATTTTCAAATTTAGAATTTTTTAGTTTTGTTTTTTTAATTCTAACCCTTAAAAGTTCAATTCTAATCTTTAATTTTAACCCTTAAAAGTTTCAATAACATTGAAAAAGAAAAATATAACTTAATTTTAAAAAAAAATTATATATAGCCCAACCCGCCCGAGCCCGTTAAACCCGCACCCGTACGGGCCCTATAGAACCCGAAAAATCCCAGCCCGCCACCAACCCGTTAACCCCAGCCCGATAACAACCCGCCCCGAACCCGTACGGGCTGACGTTTTTTTTGTCCAGCCCGTCCCAGCCCGCTCAATTAACACCTTTGAGAAAGACTAGCGTTGAGAGAGAAAGGGAGCGGAGAAAAATCTGAAAGAATGAGAGAGAAAAATAATACAAAGAGTATTTTATGACTTAAGGGTAGGAGGTAACCATAAATAGATATTTGTCTATAAAAATCAAAAGGTAGCTATGGAATATAATTTTTTAAAAGGATATTTATTTAAAATAAATAAGGTATCAACATTTGCTATAGGAGTTAAAAATTCCTCTTAATTAAGTACTTTCTCTCATCTAAGCTAACTGTTCCTTTCTGCAACTATTTAATAGTGCAGAGTTTCATGACTCCTTTTTCCTTTATTGATTTCCCAAGTAATAAAATTTGTTTAGCAAAAAAACAAAATATATATCTACAGGAGAAGTTTACTTAAAATATAATTGCCTTAATTTTATGTAGTTAGCAGGAAAATTTTGATCTCAAATAAAAAAAATTACAAGGCAAATAACTTTCCACCATGAGATCTTATAAAAAACAACATTTTCCTTTTTTCAATAACGTAGAGGTCGAGCCAGCTTACGCGCACCTCGAGTTATACAGCGCACCCGGTATCTTCCACCGGTACAAGTATCGGAAAACTATGTCCACCGCCGGAAACGATGATTCATTGCGGTAGCTCTTTTCATTTATTATTCAACTCAATCCCAGATGGTATCTCAAATCTGTTTCTTGCTTTCATCAGTAATCAAATCATCTTCAGCATCATCCATGATTGATTCCTTCTTGAAATAATCTACTTTAAAGTCATAATCATCATCCATCATATCACTGGTAGTAGAGGCTTTGTCTTTCATCCTCCTTTTCTTCTCAGCTTTTCTAAGTTTGTTATCTAGCATGCCTTTCTCAGTATATAACTTCTCATTTTGTTTGCTACTAGCACTCTTGCCACTTGTCCGGCCTGCATCATCTTCTCCTGCGCCCATCGCCTCATCTCTGTCTTCATTAACAAGGTTGTCTGTTGCATTAGCACTCCGAGTCACTGGCTGCTCCAAATTGTCCTGCAGTTTAAAAATGCATTGTTAATAGACGTCACAACTTGTTCAGACATGGATGAGGCAGATGATAATTTGAACAAACTTGGATTTAAGAGAAGCTTTCTTTTTTACTTATAGGTGCTCTTATATTGAAAGACTTTAAAAAAAAGGTTTTTTGAACAGACCTAAATTCTTGAATAACAGAAACCTGAAAGATAATTAAACAATGACAAGAAGTTCTATAACTTAATTATGCAGCTTCTGATCTAAATTCATAACAAGTGATGTATTCCATTCGATCAAACCATTTGTTAGTTCAGGAATCAACAATATTGCAGTGCTATTTGTGCACAATGAGCACTGTAGGAAACATTTCAATTTGCAGAGCAAGTGAACAGCAGTTACAGAATCCACAGGATGTTAAGAAGAATGCATAAAAGGACTGATTAAAAAAGAAAACAATCTTGAAGCAAATCACATACCTCTAGCATGGTCTCGAAAAGGACTGATTAAAAAAGAAAACAATCTTGAAGCAAATCACATACCTCTAGCATGGTCTCGTCAAAGTTAATAGGGTGATTAGATGGAACTTCAACTGGGTGATAATCATCGACTGATTTCAGGCTTCCAATAATCGAGGATTCACTTCCATAAACTTCTTCAACATTGAACTCTTTTCCAAGTTCTGAAACTATCTTTACCTCTGAATGCTCCCCCTCATTCCTAGACGGGGGCATGGTGTAGTATGGTATTTTCCCTGAAATTTGTCAAAGAGACATCAAACTACTAGCATATGCATAAATACGCGTCTATTTCAAATTCAAATCTCTCCTGGAGGAAAACTAGCAGTTGTCACACACACCCTCATTCCAGTCATGCAGCACAATCCTTGCTGCAGAATCGATGTCAACAAGTCCACCCTTTTTCAGTTTACCCCTAACAGTAGCGACTTTCTGAAGAAAGTCATCGACTGAATCAAAGCTAGGAACCTTGTATATAGTTACCAACATCCTGGCCGGACATAGTTTAAGAATCTCCTTTACTGCACAAACCACAGTACTAGCAAAGTCAGCCACATTGATATACTAATTGAAATAGAACATAAAAGTTAAGTAAAAATGCTAAAACCAAATCCAGTTACCAGGACCAACTGGGTCATCTAACTTCTCTATCCTCTTGCAATTTCGAAGAGCAATAGCTGCATCATTCTGTGATGATGACCTAAGCATCACAATCCCAGGGCAGTCCAACAACTTAACATTCTTGTCTAACTGGACCTCTTGCATGGATCTAGTTAATCCAGGTGTAGCACCAACATTGACTACGTGAGATCTCTTCAAGCTATTAATCAGACTACTTTTACCAACATTTGGCAGACCAATGATACCAACAGTGATTGATTTTTTAATCTGCAGCAAGACTTACCATTAGCATAGAACCAGCATAACTAAAGCAAAAAATGCAATTAAAATTACATCAGCATTGACTAAAGACAGGTTGGTAGTTCATGTCCCATACACCAAAGTCCTATGCAGTACGCTAAATTTCCTTATTTTCATTTATTACTCCCTTCCTTTTTCCCCAAACACCCAGAAAGCCAAGAAATTCATCGAGAAAAGGATGCCATCGGCATTATGGAAAAAATTACTTGAAGTGCACTAAAAAGAGTTAAGACAGCCATTTGGTGGCGGCACCTAACCATATGTATTTACAGGTGCTGCACACCATGACGGATTTCCGAGGTTGAAACACTATGATAAGTGCAAGTTAGATACTGACCTAAAAGCAAGTTACTGTTCATGATTGGACAGATTGAGCCAGTGAGAGACAAGATTGTCGAAAGACATCCAGGTGAGGGGGGGGGGGGGGGGTGTAGAGACAGTTAAAGAGTTGAAGCTTCTTCGAGTTTTGAATTTTATCCAGGGTTATCTGCTAGAATCAGAGAGCATCTATCGGATGTCCCCATGGAACTTTGTGATCCCAAGAGGCAAGTAGAGTTGTACAATCAATCAACTATGCTTCTACTCCAAACTAGTTAGAGCCAGCTATATGAATCCTTTATTTCAATTCTGGTCTATTCGGTCCCAATTAATTCCAATGCCGCAACAATTGTCTTTTCAGACAAATTAGGTTCCCCACATCTCATATTTATCCCTACATTGACGTACAAGTCATTGCAAACCCCAGACCTATAGCAAGTGTAACAAAACCAGCAATTTAAATTCCACAAATGTGAGCTTGGCATAGCCAGATGTCACTCTACATAAAGGACGAGGGTTGCTGTAGGTTGAACACCGACTCAACTTGATTACGTTGAAAACCAGGTGAGATCAGACGTAGCTGAGTTTGCGCATGCAACAAAATAAGAATCATGAGTAGACACAGTACACAAAACATAGAAGTTCAAGTTAAGGCGTATTCCAGAGCTGAGCAGCAAGATAAACTAGGTGAGAATCCAACAAAGAAAGTGATGCTGAAAATACCTCATGGCTCCGTGAGTAGTTCTTTAGCAATTTTATGAGAGTCTCAGCTCCAAGACAATCACTTGTCTGCAAAAGATTGGTAGGTTTTCCAGCCTTTGAGGAAGACTTCCAGCCCAAATTTGACTTCTGCTCTTGGGTGCTACACTTGAAAGCAACTGTTGGTAGTTCCTCTCGCAGATACTTTAGCCACTTTTGTGCGGCTTCCCGAGGGACAAGATCTGATTACAAAGTCAAAAAGTAAATAATGTCATCCCTATGAAATGTAAGAAGTAACTCTTCCAACCATCATATTAGATAGTGCATAAACAAATTAAAGCTTGCTATCAAAATTTTGCATAATCAAAGCCCGCCTGGAGAAGGTCTGCTGACATATATATGAAAAAGAAGAAACAGAGGTGTAAATATATAGAAAAAATTGAGCAAGGTATATATATACATATTATCCAAACATAAACTTGTATCACGGACACGTGGGTATTAGAAAACGGTAGCTTTCATCAAATTCTCCATAAAATGGAAGTTAAAGCAGATACACGATAATGCTACTATAAATTAAACGAGAAAAGGAATACCAATTTTATTCAGGAGTAGCACGAGATGTTTCTCAGGTCCCGATCTCATGACCATCTTTTCCATGTCTAGACAGCGTGTACCAAGAGGATCTCGGGCATCAAGCACTTCCAAAATGACATCAGAAGCTTCAACCACTTTGACTAACTCCTTGTAGAAAGCTCTTTCCGAGTTATCTGCATCAGACAAGCAAGTGTAAAAGACCAAAGAGAAGAAAAGCAAACCCACTACACTTCATCCCACAACCGACCCATGACAATATGAAGCATAGAAGGTTTTGACATACCATGGATTTTAACAAAAGTAGCTGAATCGCCCTTTCCTCGTTCCTCCATTGTCGAAGCCATGTCGGGAGGTTTATTCATATCATCATCCTCAATCAGTCCTAGCTTTCTCTTCTTAGCCTAGAAGCCAACGCACGGTAGTTAAATGACTGCCACAAATACCATGAAGAAAAAGAACTGTGGGATGACAAAGCTGTGACAGCAAGAAAAGCTATCCGCAAGGGAAGACAAATTCTTCCCACCATAAAATGAGCATGGCCATGCAGTCTCTTACCCACTTCAAGGATATCGTGTTAATTGAGTAAAACATTTTTAAATCAATTTATTCTTGCAGAGAACCTGTGAAAATCAGTGAATTCTACAATTATTTGTATGATTTACACAAACGCAGTTCAACATTTCAAGTGGAGCATGATTACATGACAAGCAGTCAAGCATTAGTCAATCAAACTCTGAAAACATAGCAAAAAGATCTCTTTTTAAGAATACCCGAGTCAATGCCACCCTTTCACAGCCTCTCAATTGTAAGATAATGTTCCAACTACAGAACATCTGATTATCAGATGAAGCAAGCATCAAAACCATCTTACAACGATAACAACAACTATGCCTCCATATTAGTTGAGTCGGCTATTTGAGTCCCCAATATAGATTCCGCACAAAGGCCATTAGACATTTCAAGTTGAGCACGATTAGTGTGACAAGTTTTAATGAATCAAATTTTGAAAATATAGCAAAAAGATCTCTTTTTTATGATACCGAGTAAATGCAGGCGCACAAAGTCCATTCAATATTTCAAGTTGAGCATGATTAAAGTGACAAGCCTCAATCAATAAAACTTTGAATATTTTACCAAAAAAGATCTCATTTTTATGGTACCAAAGTCAATGCAACCCTTGCACTGCCTCTCAATTGTAAGATAACATTCCAATTACAGAAATCTGGTGAAGCAAAGCATCAGAACTATTTGACAACAATAACAACAGGTACGCCTCAGCTCCAAACTAGTTAAAGTCAGCTATATGAATCCTCAACATATACTATACTTTGTTTGGAATTAAAAACACATCAATAGACAAAAATTATTACCCTTTCTTTTCGGGCAGCTTTCTTCTGCTCCAATTCTTCAAGAGCACGAGCACGACGAGCCTCAAGAGCCTTAAGCTCTTGTTCCTTAAATGGCCAATCATTGGGGATTCCTGGGTCCTTCTCTGCCTTAGTCTTTTTATTAAGGCCCAACTTTTTCGCCTCTTTGGATTTCTTCTTGTGATGCTCTTTTACTTTCCTTATAATCTTGTACTTCTTCTTCAGTGATACCCTGTTGCTCTTACTCTCTACAACAACCAAAAAAAAAAACTCAACACCAAAAGTCAAAAGAAAATTTAGAATATTGATAGAATAGAGTAGTAATTGTTCTTACTCTTGCTTTTCTTCACCATTTTTGTTTGCTGGAAAAGAACTGTACGGTTTCAGAGAGGAAGTGGGAAATTGATTTAGGGTTTATGAGTTAAGCGTAGGGCTTTGGGAGGGGGAACTATCCAAAAAGGTCGGGTTTCGTATACGCGGGTCAAATAGGCAATGGTCTTCGGGTTTATTCGAAGCGGGGACGGGTCCTTAAATGGGAGAAACTGCAAAACAGTAAAAGACTAATGGGGTGAGAGAGGCTCGAACTCTCGACCTCAGGATCACTCGATATGCTATGAGACCTACGCGCTAGCCAACTGCGCCACCACCCCAGATGTCTATTTCTTCATTTGTCTTTACTATTAAGCTATAAGCCTATTGACTGCTAACATCTAACTCCAAATTTTTTTTTAGGAAATTTTACCTCCTACAACAAACTATTACACCCTATTTATTATAAACTAAAATAATCTCAAAATATTATTACTTATAGCTACCATTTTTATTTTACAACAAAATGGGTATTTTATTTTATATCCTACGCGTGAAATATGCTTGTTGTGCACTTTCTTTCTCTCTCTCTCTCTACCATCAAGATTCTCAATCCTCTCTCTCCCTTATCCATCAAGACAACCGTTGTAGCAAGCATCTTTTATGGCGGTGGTGGACTTTCTGAAGCAAAGAAAGTAGATCTGAAGCGAAGAGAGAGTAGGTGAACATATCTGGCCATGGCTACAGATTGAGCCTTTGGAATCTGAAACAGAGACTCCAGAGAAGATTTGAGGGCCGGATTTTTTGTTCGTCTCTATTTTTAGCTTTAATACAATGTATATAGTATTTTGCTTGGACGGAAAATGCCATCTCTGCTGTATTGGATATCAACACCCGCTGTATTGATTTCTCACATACGTTAGGAGTGAAGTTGTTCAACAACCACCTAAATATGTATCCTTTCTCAAGCAACACATAATAAATAGGCACAGTGAACCATTCAATCAAGTGAAATAAGCACGTAGTTGAACAAATAGACAAATTCAAAGGTTAAATTAGATTAAAACATAACAAGAATTCATCCTCCAAGAGATTCAACCAAAACCCTAGATAACAAATTAGCTATTCATAATAGTATGTAAAACTACAATACTAAAATTCATAGCCAATAACGGAAATAGGAAGAAGGGAGAGAAAAACTCGTAGAAGAATTCTCCGCCTTGCTCCTAGTGTGTTCTTGCCTCCTTAGGTCCAAAGTGTGTCAAAAGTCCTCAAAATACCGTTTTTCCATGTATATATACCAAGTAGGATCGGGACCAAATAATTATACCTTCTCCTACGCGAAAAAACAACACTTTTCTAGGTCGGTATGTCCGCGGCCGCAGATTCAACCGCGAATTTGGCCGCGAATTTTACCCAGTGTTCTGCCTCACATCCGCGGCCAGTGTGCGACCGCGCACTTGTCGCGCATTTTTCACCCTATTCTATTTGGAATTTGGAAAAACGTAAAACATGAAAGTGGTAGCCCTTTGAATTAGCTTTCCAACCATTTATTGTGGAGCTCAAATAGAGTTCTGAGCGAAAAGTTATTTGTATTTTACTAGACAATGCGCAATATGCCTACTCGATTCTTCGTTCGTTCTTAATTATCATCCATTGATCTCCGAACACGATCCCAGCTTAATTCCTTGGTCTTTTAATCAGACTTCAAAGCTCCAAATCACTTGAATTCATTCCGTAACATCTACATAGCTCGGAATCACTCCTACAAGGCATAAAACACACAATTAGTGCAAAACACTAGCGATTAAAGCTCAAACTCAATTAAAGTGCAGTAAATTAGAGTGCAATAAGCGACTAAAATACGTAATTATAGCCTATCATCAGCCTCAAACCGTCGAACGACACACTATAGCTTAAAACGACCGATCGAGGCGTTGCAATCAGTGCTAGAACACTACCGCTCTACATACAACCTCTATGGATAGAAATTTAATAACATCATGTGCCTATCTTAAAAATTAATTTTCACCGTCCCAAATAAATTTGATTTGTTGAACTAATGTTTAAATCACAGTTATTGATTTGAAAATTGGGTTAGAAGCTTGAGGTTTTAGAAGAAAAAAATAAATTGTGATTTGTAAAATATATTTGGAGTTGAATATTGAATCTTAGCGTATTATTTCTGGATTATAGCTTTGCAAAATTGTATATAGGCTATATGGTTACGATATATGTGTGGATTAGTACTTATGTGTAATTATCTCTTACTTATGGTACCATGTTAAGTAAAATAACTTCTTTCGCTATGTTTTTGCCTATTTATGTTTTTACCTCCTTTTATATATCCTGCTCGGTGCTCACTGTGCCCTCTCCCCCACATTCCATTCACACAAAAAAAGTTTGAAACTATGAAGCAGATTATTGTTGCTCGAAGGGAAAAAATTCACTTGTGGGAACGGGAAAAACTTCACATCGGGGTACTCCACAAAAAGGTATTTACTTTGGGTTTTGTTGTCACGTATTATTTTTGAGCCGAGGATCTTCCGGAAATAGCCTCTCTATCCCTCTAACTAGGGGTAAGGTGTGCGTACACTCTACCCTTCCCAGACCGCACTGGTGGGATTTTACTGGGTTGTCATTGTCGTGATTTTGCTTAATTTTTGATTTTTACCCTTTTTGAGTGAAGTTGTTTGCTGAATGATATATTACGCTTGATTTGCGTAGATAGATTCCTTTGTTTTCTTATCTTTCAGTTTCCCCAGAAGGAATTTTGCTCAATTTTAGATTTTTCATTAGAGTTAAGTTGTTTGCTGAGTGAAATATTACGCTTGATGGATTCCTTTGTTTTCTTGCCTTTTTAGTTGGTAGAAGAATATTGGATTTATTTGAAAACAATCAATAATAAGGAAAAGTTCAGTGGAGAAGATGGTTATGCAAATTGTAATAATGAGTTTAATAAGCCATCTGCTTTTGAACCATGTCTTCCATCTGGGTTATCTGACACAATATTGTTAGCCTCTTAATTTTTTCAGTTGTCCAAGAAGGAATTTATCTCAATTTTAGATTTTTACCCTTGTAATTTTTTGTTAGAGTGAAGTTGTTTGCTGAATGATATATTAAGCTTGATTTCTGTTGATGGATTTCTTTGTATCTCTTGCTTTTTTAGCTGACAGAAGAATATTTGAAAACATTTTAATATTTGCAATGCTTGATGCTATTGCAGCCTAACAAGAAGAGGAAACGGCGATCAAGTACGGAGGAGAATGCAAATAATAATAATAATAATGAGTGCGAGCTACCTGCTGATGTTATAAGCTCTATTTTTATACGTTAAGGTGCGCATCAAAGTCGTGGAATGACTTTATTACTAGTCCTCTCTTTGTTCATTCTCACCTGGAAGTCTGGAACAATCAACGGAAAATGCCCAACTTCTTTTTCTGAAACCCAATTACTCAGAAGTGCAACGGTTAAATAGGTGCAGACTACAATTTGTTTCAGTAGACATGGAAGGAAAGGGAGAAACCAATGAGGTATACGCTGTCACTTTACCCCGTTTCCCGTATCCCCAATCTGGTTTCCATGTGTCCGCTGGTTTAGTTTGCATTTCATTGCCTGATTGCATTTATTTGTGCAATCCTCTTATGCAACAATTATGTAAATTGCCAAAATGTTCACCTTGTGTTTTAAGTGGATGGACAAATGTTGGGTTTGGATTTCTTCACTCAACGAAGGAATTCAAAGTGGTGCATTTTTTCTATACGAGTCTCGGAAATCATCCTTTTCCGTTTTATACACATTTACAAGTAAGATGCGAGGTGTTTACGTTTTCCCTAATAAATGGGGTTGGTGGCATTTCAAATATATGGAAAGAAATTGTTGAGATGCCTCCATGTTATCCGTCCGGTCCAGGGCTGCTAGTGAATGAATGCTATTACTGGTGGGCTAGACGATTTGCTTCAGGCGCGCATTTGAGTTTGAAAATGACAAGTTCCTAAATTCCCAAACTGAGTATGATGGATTTGAAAGGAATGCTTTGCTTGCCAGACGTGGCTCACTACCGCAAGAGTTCAATTCTAGACCTGTGGATACTTAAGGATAAAGTAAGTTGCATATGGGCGAAGGAGTATAGCATCAATTTGGTCAACTTTAGGCCCAGCTGGCATACTATTCCTATCTTCAGGACGTGGAAAAGAAATAATATTTATACATTTGGATAAGGCCATCTTCTATGACCTAAAAAGAAAATGTTTTAGAGCAGTGAAAATCGGTTTTGGAATTTGCCAAGACAACTCCGTGCTTTTTGCATTGGGTTTTGGAATTTACCGGAAAAGCTTGTTTTCATTAGGAAGCACTTAGATCCTTCCTAGTTATATCCCTTTAAGGATATTGCTCCGTATCTTATTGTGTATGAAGCATCATCCGTATTTTTCTCTTCTTTAGAAGAGAAAGAGTTTCGACATGCTTGCTTATGGGTAATTTAAGTTTTGTTTGAGGGCATATTAGACTTTTGAGCTTATCTGTATACGTGGCTTTTCTATATCTACCCAACTACTACGTGTAGCGTTTACCTTATTACAGAGGTGGGTTTTATTCGATTTGTGTACATCACAATTTACAGAGCTTCAGATATCTTCGTCTTCCTCATCTCTTTCAACTTGTGCAGGTGCTTTTCTTATTACTTAATATGAATTTTATTGTTTTCTATCTCTTTCTCCTTTTTTGTTTCAAATTCGTTAGAACAGAGTGAATTAATTACAGATTTTCGAGTTAGGGTTTGACGGATGAACAAATTCTGTTTGTTAAACTATAGAAATCAGTTGATTTTTTGTGTCTGCAAAGTACAAGAATGGATATCTCTTCCCAATTTTCTTCTCCTTTTTTATTCATTTTTTCCCCTTTTCATGTGTTTGTTGGGTTCGTTCCATGCTTCTCAATTTCATAGCCAGTGGCCTGGTGTCAAACTCTACTAATGAATATTTGCATCTTGTGATGCATAAAAATTAGTTAATTTGTATCATAAGTTTGAATCGGTGGTCTTATGTTTTATAAAATGAGTATTCTTTATTAATTACTGCTTCAAGTCTATTTATTTTGTTACCATCTGTTGTATTTGATGTTCTTTGATGCTATGTAGCTACTGGTCAAATTAGACTATGATGCTATGTCGTGTTTTTCTATGAACTGATGACACTTTAAATAGACTATTATATAGTTATTGGTTTATTTCTAATGACTTTCAAGGTTCCATTCCCTTCTTGCTTGGAATGATTGGAAGGGGAAGGAAAACTAAATTCAAAGGCAAATATTAATATAAATTTTACCTTTGAAGTAGTTCAGTTCATGTTAAAATTCATTAAGTGGGTAGTATAGTCAATTGAGTTTTAAGTAATCTATGAAATTCAAGCTTCCTATTTAGCCAATCTTGAAACTGAAAAGCTGTGAAAGGCAGCACAAGAGTCGCTAGAGCGAAAAAGTGTCCGACTTCATTTGAAAGAAAAGAGAAAACAAAGCTTGTAGCAGCAGTCACCTATCCAACTCCTGCATCTTAAAATCTATTGCTATTCCTAGAGAAGAAATGAGGAAACAAAACTTCGTCCGTTTGGTAAGTGATGCGAAGAGTTGGTTAGTTCGTTATGGATTGGAATATTAGATCTCTTGTTGTTATTAGCCAAGAGAAAAATCTAAAGCTGCTCAACTTTCCAAAGTAAAAGAATGAATCTAAATATGTTAACATTATACACTGATAAAAGTTACTCTTATTATCTATTTAAGTTGAGTTTTAGAGTTTGACCAGTGCAAAACATAAAGAAGACGAAGAAAGATACAAAGAAGTTTAAGAAAATCAAACACAAAAACAAGAAAAACAAATCCATTAACATTGTTCCTGTTGAGAACAAAGGAAGTAGTGAATGCGATTGGTGGGATAGTTTCTGGCACAAGAACTCACCAACCCCGTGTCCCTTTACTTTTCTCTGCTTTTCCCCAGCTGTAAATTTTTGTTCTTTTATCATATTGTAGCTGAAATCTACAAATTGACTTGTATTTTGAAACCCATTTAGCTTCAAATACTGTTGAAAAATTCACTATAGATATGTAAGACTGGATGTTAGCAAGTGTCAAGCTTGGAGCTTTAAGCCTAATTCCTTCAAATTTGGTGCATTTTTTAACCCCTTCTATGTGAAATTCACAAAGCATAACAGGTTCAGACCTGGAAGAGGGTTGCTGTAGGGTGAAGGGTAGTGTACGATTCCCAAAAAGAAAAAAAGAAAAACAAGGTGATTCCTATCTGCCTAAGCCTTGGGGCAGAGTTAGCCGGTACTTTTGCTGGTGGGTGTTAGCAGGTACCCGGTGGAATAGTCGATCTCGCCCAAGCTGGGCCGGAGAGTAGTATGTAAAATAGTATGATGATTCATATAGTCGAGTCCAATTAGTTTGAAACTAAGATGTACTTGATTGATTTACTGCATTTTATCTCTGGATTCTTGAAGTATACTTGAAGTCAACCCTCTAACGCTAGAAAGAAAAAACATGTTTACTCATTTAAGACTCTGTGCTGGAAATGGACTCTTCTGCTTAGAGCTTTAGCCACAATTGTACCAAAGTACCAATTTTCAAAGCATTCCTTTTACTCACAGCATTTCAATATGTAGTCAACACATAACTTGAACTTGTTTTTTCATTACTTTTGTTCATATTCCACTTTCTCAAATTAATATCACATGTTTCAAGAGAAGGTTCAATCAACTTCACTTTCATCTCAGACACATTGTTCCCATTCCGAGTGTTCAAATATGCATCTTCTTCTGGTTTAAGAAAGTCATTACTCATTTGCCTTTGTAGTATAAACAATGGAATTAAGAACTTGTAGAGCAATTGTTGATGGGGTTTTGTTAAAATTGGTGGCAGTAAAGAGGGATTGCTTCATTTCTTGAGTCAAAGCAAATGTTGTATTAATTTACAGAAGCTTGATTTAAGATTGCTTTTTGATGTTGATAATAGTCATTTGATAGGTGCTGCAGAAAATTTAAGGAGTTTGAGGAGTTTAAGATTATAATTAGAGTGGAATTACTTAAGCATGAATGATTTTGTTTTTGTTTGAATTATTTCTCAGGAAACTTCAGAGCTAATATTAGTTTTTGTTATCTATTTCTAACTCATTATTAGAATGGAAAAGCTTTTCCTTTTGATTGTAATTCTGTGTGCTTCTAGCTATGCCATTCATCACATATATATTGAATGAATTGTTTTTGGTTTCAAAGTTATGCTTTCTGAATGCTCCTCTGCTCAAAAATATCACGACAACACAAGGTTAGCTTACTTGATTACAAATCTAGACTCCAATCGCTTTTTTTAAACTTTAACTAAATATTTATTTTGTTATATTATCTATAATAGTAAACTACTGAAAATATTACTAAAATATTGAGATATAAAATTATACTATAATAATGTAGAATATATAATAGTTCTATCGTTTCTTTATTTCTCTTCATTCTTATTTTGCCTCTTCTGTTGTGTCTAAGATTCTGATGTAAATATTAATGTTAGTCAAAATTTCATCGATCATGGTCATTGTTGATTCAGTATTTGTAATTATCACCCTTCATTTACATGGATGTTGAACAAAAAAAAGTAGGAGTATGAACATTAGTTGCATTAAAATATGTTGGTTGATTGGTATATGATTTTCTGTTACACTTATGTAAGTGGACTCTTCTATGGAGAAGTTGTTAATATTGAAAATGAGAATCACCCATCATTCTTTTGGATATCATCACATGAAATTTTCTCTCCATTCTTCTTTAAAAGCAGTAGCAAATAACTTTTGTCATATGAATTTGTGTCTTTTTACATTAAAATCTATAAGAGTAAAAGGTGGAAGATAAACCAGATATTTGCCTGTAAGTTCGTTGCTCCACAACCATCTTTAAATTGAGTAACTTTGAATTAGTATGATAATCCATTGATAGAGAACATTGATCTTGAAATTAAATTAAAATATTACCATCTCATTTGTGGTATAGACTACTTTAACTCCAACAATTTAGGCTTAGAAGTGCTGCAATTTTTTATGCAGCGATAAGATAGATGATCATAATATTTAGATATAGGTCATTATTAGAATGAAACAATTGTGTCTTTTTTGAGTTTACTATGCTATAAAATCTTTTTAGATCTTCTTTAGATATCAGCCAAGGAGGTAGGTGGTTATGCAGAGTGATTAAAGAACTAGCAGTGAATGATATATAAAAATAATGTTAAATGAGAATTGATTTGGTCTTTTAGACATATTGCCTCAATAGTGTAGAAAAATAGATAAATTAACATGAATGCACTTATAAGAATTTTGTCACGACCCGAATTTTCCACCATCGGGAGTCGTGATGGCGCCTACTGTTGGAGCTAGGCAAGCCAAACATTTAAACATTCCCCGATTTCACCTTAACAAGAACAATATAAATATAAGGAGTCATTTAAATTAAAGCGGAAGTTTAACAATTCTCTACCCAAGACTGGTGTCGCTATCTCACGAACTACTAAAGAGTGCTACAAACAAGTCTGAATGGAATTACATAAGTGTCTGTCTCGGTACAATGAAAACAAACTGAAAACATAGAAAGGGACTCCGGCCTGCGAACACCAGCTAGGCTACCTCGTAAGTCCTTGGACTGAAGTCAGCTCCCGATCGATGTCCTACTGCTGTGGTCCAAAAGCTGCTCCGGTACCGTGATCTGTGCAAAAGAGCACAGAAGTGTAGCATCAGTACAACCGACCCCATGTGCTGGTAAGTGCCTGGCCTAACCCCGGCGAAGTAGTGACGAGGCTAGACAGGACTACCAAACCAACCTGTGCAGTTCAATATATATATATATATATGCAAAAAAAAGGGAAGAATACAAAATTAAACAGTTAAGAGGGAGGGAAGCATACTATGGGGGAGTACAGTCCGGATATAAAGTCAACCATTTAAGTAAGAAACAGGGCAATAACAATAATTAATGAGAGCAGGAAAATCAATAGTTGCACGGCATCAACCTTTGTGCTTTTACTCTCATTCTCACCAAAAGCAATCAAATAAAGTGCACGGCATCACCCTTCGTGCTTTCCCTCACATAACTCTCATATCATGACACGGAATGATCCTTCGTGCAATTATAATCAAATCAGAGCACGGAATGTCCCTTCGTGCATAAATAATCAAAACATGGCACAGAATGACCCTTCGTGCAAATATAATCAAAACATGGCACGGAATGACACTTCGTGCAAATATAATCAAAACATGGCACGGAATGACCCTTCGTGCATTATCACTCTTTCTCACCCAAACAGTAATCACAACCAAACGGGGCGAGGGGATAAACAAATAATAAGAAATGTCCCGGCAAGGGAATTACACAATTAACAGCTAAATCCCGGCAAAGGGGCAACAACAATACAAACATCCCGGCAAGGGGGATAATCAATATACTCAAACCATCCCGGCCAAGATTAATCGTATCACTTTCTCTTTCTTTCATTTCTTACTCAATAGTGATTTTTTTCGTTCGAGCCAACGCTCCAAAGAATTTACAATTCATAATTAGTCCTCATACTCTTCTCATTGCATAAAATTCATCAATTAACATGGAAGAGTCATAACAATAT